AAAAAAAAAAAAAACACAAACTGTAAAACTACCTAAAATTTACTAATCTCTTGTTCTTTTGTATCCACTATATCTGGGAGTTCTCTCCAGTGGATATGCAATACTTTTTTCTTATCATCAAGGAAGAGAAGAGGTAAGATATTATGGGCAGCGGTGTTGGGGATGGTATGGTGAATAAGGAATTTCACCACTAATTGAGAACATATCCGTGAGGGTGGCCCATTGGGTAAAAACTTAAGAGGCATTTTACCACTTTTCTGTTGATGACATTATAAGGAATTGGCAAGTGCTAGCACAATCTTCAGCACAAAGAACAATCAGCAACAGTACTTGTTTACCTCCAGAGGGCAACATCATCAAGTTAAATATTGATGTATACTGTTTGGGCAATAGGAGCTTCAGGGGATGGAAGACTAATAGGAGTGTAATAGCCTTATTATTGGGCCTTATTGGTCATGGAGTTTCAATAAGGGAGGAATTGTTGGCTATGCTACACAGGTGTAGACTAGAAAGATTTCTAAACTATAGGAATATAGAGGTAGAGGGAGATTCTAAGGTTATGATGGTCCAAGTTCATTTAAAACAGCATAGCCCTTGAATCCATAGGCAAGCAATAGGGGCAATAACAAAACTGACAGGGAAACTGGGTGTAACATTTAAATGGACACTCAGATCAGCCAATAGTATGGCTGATGTTTTGGCAAGATAGGTTAACAGGAACCAATTGTTTTGAGGGATTAATTTTCAAGGAGAAAGCAGTTTAACTTGAAAATTAAAACATAGATGGGGAAGGGTAGGTAGCATTGGCTAGCCTATTTGGGGTTCTTGGCGCACTTCTTTGTGTAGTTATTTGTTACGACCATTCCAGTCCACTCGAGCCCAGGCCCAGCAGCCCACGACGGATCCAGAGAGAAGCCACTCATTTCACGCCGGTTCGTTACAAGACAGAAGGGACCACCAGCCGTTACAGATGATTTGGTGCCAGAGTTGGTTACGCCTGCACATGAGAATATCTGAACCTCATGATTAGAGCTCAGTAGGCCATTATATAAGGCCAGCAATCATGTAATAAATGGAATATAGAAATAAACTTCTTCTTCCCTTCCTATCTTCTCTATTCAAGGAGGTGAGTCTCCATCAAAGAGACTACCGAGGTAGGCGGTACCTACCAGTTGGTACCAGGGCCGACGAGGTTCCCAATGCTGCAGATGCGGTCGACGACAGGGTCAACCAGATTGAGTTGAGCCTGCATCAGGTGGTTTTTGAGCTGAAAGAGATTCGAGCCTCCATGTCTGCCATGGCTTCCCAGCATCAAACAGGGAAGTCCAGCTGCCGAGAAGGGGATATGGAAGACTCCAACTATAAAGGGGAAGAGGGGAATCACCTTTTCCAGGAAAGGTCACCAAGATTGACTTTCCCAAGTATTCCAGCAGTGACCCTATCCCTTGGATTTTCAAGGTAGAGCGGTACTTTGAGTACCATGAGGTTCCGGCCCATCAGCGAGTATCCATCGCTTCCATCCATCTTGACGGCGATGCAATACTCAGGTTCCAGTGGCATCGCCGTTCTCATCCTCAAGTAATGTGTTTGGAGTTCACGGAGGCGCTCTACATCAGGTTCGGCCCTACTGCCTTCGAGAACTAGCACGAATAGCTTACTCAACTTAAACAAACTGGCAGTAATGGAGTATTAGTTGGAGTTTGAGAAGTTGTCCTCCCGTGTTTTCGGATGGCCAGAACCAGCTCTGTTAGGTTGTTTCCTTGGGGGATTACAGGATGACATTCGCCTGGAGGTCAAGGGTGCTCAACCAGCAACTACGAATGGCAATTTCACAGGAATTTTCAGGTATCTGACCCGTCCCAACCCTAATAGGACCCGTTTATCAAAACCCTATAAGGTTTGGGATTTTAGATTAAAACCCTATAGGGTTTGGGTTTTGACTTTAGGGTATCCGGTACCTGATACCCAAGATGCATAAATATGAACCTATTATATTATATTCGTTACAGATGATTCAGTGCCAGAGTTGGTTACACCTGCACATGAGAATATCTGATCCTCATGATCAGCTCAGTAGACCATTATAGAAGGCCAGCAATCATGTAATAAAGGAATATAGAAATAAACTTCTTCTTCCCTTCCTATCTTCTCTATTCAAGGAGGTGATCTCCCTTGAAGAGACTACCGAGGTAGGCGGTACCTACCATTATCCCTCCTTCCCTTAATAGTAATAAATTGGTGTGTTACTAATAAAGAAAAGCACACCCTCTACATAATAAAACAAAACCTGTCAACCTAACTCCTTTCCTCCTTCATCTCCTTCTAAACGACAAATTGTACCTACTTATTCTAGATCTTGATGCAGCCACAAGAGATGCATATATAGAACTTCTAGTGAATAAAAAGTATACATAGCAAATCACTTTGAAGTAGCATGCAAGAAACACACAGAGCAGATGTTGTGAGGCATTAGTAACTCAGATAACATTCCCTTACATTCATGCATTCACTACAAAATAAACAAAGAAAAGAGAGGCCTCTCTAAGACCCAATAGCGCTAATGAAATAACAATACATGAAAGAGTTCATAACTATTTCTGAAGGGCAGAAAAATAAACAATTTTACCTTGGAGACAAGTTACTGGGCAATGGTATGGAAAAATAAATGACAGAAGAAGATTGAAACATACTCATCATCTCCAGCTTCTCAATCTGTTGTCTGATTGTTTCAGGGTCCTTCTTCAGGATTCCAACCTCTCTGACTTTCCTTCTTTCTTTTTTGTTCTGTTACAAGAAAGATAAGTAAATATAAGTAAAACAAATGGAGTTGAGTGTCACGTATTTAAAAGCATGCAGTGATCTGGTAAAGGACAAAATACAAAATATTGGCAGAAGAAGACAAGACAAAACGAACATTCAGTGGAAGCAAACCATTTTCTGCAACCACAAGTAGGTAAAGTGGCCTATAACCATTAAATTTGGAGCAACTTTGATGCCTAAAGCTAAAATGGGATCATATATTAATAAAAGGGCCATTACCCAATTTCTGGGGCCTTGGGAGTGGTGGCTGGGATATGGACCTAACTTTTGGCATTTTCTTGCACAAAGTGGTTGCTCTCAGACTTGGACCTCTGTTCTCAACAAATGACATAATAAGAAAATGAAAGAAAGTGGCACAAATGGAAATGCATAAAGAAATAATCAAGATGGATTGGAAACCTCCAGGGCCAAATAAATTGAAGCTGAACTGTGATGGCAGCTCCTTTGGGGACCCAGGGAGGGCTGGAATAGGGGGAGTTTTCAGAAATCATCATGGAGAAATTGTGGCTCTATTCTCAGGACCAATCGTGTATGGAGACTCGGTTCAGGCAGAGATAATGGCACTCTGGCAAGGTTTGAAATTAGCAGTATAATTAGAAGCTAGAGAGTTGGAAGTGGAAGGGGACTCACTGTTGGTCATCTCTTGGGCTAAGCAAGTAAAGTCAGAACCATGGAAGTATAGATTTGAATTCAGGGAGATTGATTTACTGGCTAAGAGCTTTAACTCTACCTTTGGGTGGACTACAAAGACAGCAAATGGACAGGCAGACACTCTGGCAAAACAGGTAGCTGATAGGCCTTCTCCTTTTTGGGCTAAACTATAGCTGGATGTGTTAAAACAGAGGGTTGATGTTCCTTGTATTCTGGGACCTTTCTATATTGCTATACTCTGGAAAGTTCTTGTAATGGTCCCTGACCCTGAGAGACCAGATATTAATCGTGAAAAGGAAAATAGTGAACATAATCAAGGTGGAGAAGTATATTCTGCAGATGCTCTTTAGTGGAACTTAATTATGTAAAGCCGAATCCACATATAATGGCACTCAAAAGAAAAGGAACGAGATGAAAGTGAAACTAAAAATAAATAAATTAAAAAAACAAGAAATTCTTCATTGGCAACAAAACTGAATCGTGAACATTAACACGATATGCAGAACAGAAATGATCTGGACCGCAACTAGTTGATGAGATGAAACCTTTCACGTAACTTCCAAGGTTAATTACTCAACTAAGGTTGCATTCTTACCCTCTCCCTACCTCAAAGTTAAATAGGGGAAAGAAAAGAATAACTACAAAAAAAAAAGCAATTGCATTGCTATGTAAGTATGAAAATTAATGTACACCTCTTTAGCAAAATTAATAAAATCCCAAAGTACATTATGGTGTTAAGTATCATTTAAATCAATAAAAACAATAACCCTTTATTCGGCAATTTATCTAGCAAGATGACGCGAATGGCAATTGACAAACAATGATTCTGTGAAATAATCATTTGCAATACAAAACAAATCACAGAATTCGTTTTACAGGTGATGAGAACGAACTAGAAAAGGGATTAACAACAACTATAAATGTAGAAACAGGAACCCTAGGAAAAAGAAAAAAGGTGCGAATTTTACCCTCTTCAACTCCTTCTTGCGAAGCTCCTTCCGATAGGCGTCGGTAGGGTTCATGACCTTCCCTCCCTTGGTGGTCTTCATCTTCGTTCCTTCGGATCTCAAATTCGACGGGAGAACGCAAGGAAAACAACAAAAACGAAGATGAAGCGATGTATTATTCTTTTTCTGTGCGTTTTCTTCTGGCAATTCGCTCGCTTCTCCCTCCTGATGAGTCTAGACTCGGGAGCCTGGAGCCTGGAGCCTGGAGGGTGACAGGACAGTTAGGCAAGCTTTTTTCGAGTCCTGAGGAAGACGAGTTTCGCTTCGTAATTAGGGCGGTTTTGATCCGGAACCGAGGCTACAGCACTTTGTATTGTATGATCAATGATCTGCAGTCCACCTCCGGTACTCCGGGGCTATCTGCACTTTGGGGGGAATCACGATCCACCCTCAGCGGTTCGAGCTGTCACTTGGATGGGCTCAACCTGAGCTCTTGCATGGGCTGAGTTTAAAAACATGTTAAACCTTGATTTTAGTTGGGCTTGGATTCAGGCATCAGGATGTACAAAGCCCAACTTGAGCCCATCCGGTCTAGACAATTTTTGTATCCCATCTATCCAAGTATCTACTATACTTTATGTATAGACTTTTTTTATCCTAGTATAAAGGTATGTATTATGTATTATATTGCATTTTAGATTAGTTATACGCAAGGTTCAAAGTATCAACACCTATCGGCTGATATGTATAATTTCGAGACCTCCCGATATATTTCTACAGTGGATGTATTAGGATTCTGACCAATTTAGGGACTGGAGGAGCCTTAAAGCAGCCTCCCTGAACCAGTTTTGAAAAATAAAATAAAAAAAAAAACAGTATCAATATCGTCCGATAAACCCCCCTACTGATATATCGGATATATCAATATTTTAAACTTTGGTTACACGCTGTGTAGCAAGCTTTGGAACAGATGATAATGCCCAATGCTAGTTATAAATGATAAATGAGAGATTAAATGGTTGTAGGCTATATGTATTTCATGACTGATGTTTGGCGTTATCATTGATTTCTGTGGCCCACCATATGAATTCGATAGCTGTTTTATTGACTGTGGCGGTATCATTGAGATATTTCTACGGCCCACTATACATTCACTGCATTAGCTGAATTCGGTAGCTGTTTTATTGTTTTATGGCGGACATGAATAAAACAGCTATCAAATTCAGATAATATATAAGCTATGCAACCTAATAGATCCAAGTAAATTGGATATAGGTAGGTCTAAATTTGATTTACTTACATTTGAATTCAAATTGGGTATCATCTATTGGATTTATATGAGAATCGTATCGACTTTGGATTAATATCGACTAGTAAAATAAAATTAAACTAAAAAATGATCATGATATCATATTTTTAATAAGATGAACTAAAAATGACTTTTATATTCTATCTGAATTTTCAGAATAAAATGAATAAAAAATGACTTGTATGAAGTTTGAACATGTGACAATTTAGTAAAAACAGAATAATTAAACAATTTTAGGGTGGACCCATATTTGGTCCAATTATAAATAGATAGAATTCAAATCACCTTTGATGGGATCAAATTTGAATTCAGACAAAAGGATAAAATTTGCAGCCCTAACTCCCCCAAACCCGTAAACTCCCTAATCCTAGTGAAGGCAGGACTAGACCCCATGCCTCTCCTACAATCAGTTAGAGACTTTACCAGTAAGCCAGTTGGTGCAACTGTGCAAGTTCAAACATACCAATAGGCGAGTTATCTACTTGTACATATCACTAGCTCCACATACAGTACGGCGGATAAAACTGCATGAACACATGCCCAAAAAAAATGTATTTATAATTTATAATGTTTTTTATGCATAAGATCCACACTCACTAAAACATGCATCTATATTATTATAAAGCGGATATTTAGTAAAGCCATCTTAAATCTTTCCCTTATACTAATATTATATATGCTATATATGATATACTTTTTTGGGATAATGGCATTAAATAAAACAAACAAGACTAATGTAACTGAATCCATATACAGTTGGGATAAGACATAGATGATGATTAGATAATATATCCTTTTATTTTATCGTAATATGTCTAGGTAAGCATAGAATCTCTTAGTTTAACCTTGCAAGTTTGAAAATGAACATACCACGTGTATTAAACTTCTTTATAAAAAAATCATGTATTTATACCGATCTTTCTTTGTAGATTTTGCGAAAGAAAAAAAAAACACATTTATTATGCTCATATTCCACAGTATGTACATTAATTTGACAAAAAGGAATGGATTTAATCAAGATAATTGTAGTCTGTCTTGACCCACTTTTGAATGCTTAATGGTGCTGAAGTGATTATTTGATGCATGAGTAGAAGTTTTGAAAATTCCTGGAAGAGACCTTCTACAATAGAAAGGGTCTTTCTTTTGACTCCTAAGTTAGCATTTTACGCTGCTTTGGGTTTGGGCATTCAAATTTCGACAAAAAAAAAAGAAAAAGAAAAAAGGATATTAGAAGATGTTCCATAAACATGGCCAAGGTTGGGCAGCTTTGAAACAGAATTTTTATTGAAGGGGATTCAAGTATATCACTGGTTTAAAAGGTCGAGACCAACTTCCTTAGAATGTCAAGCCTTAATGCTTTGAAATCTGCCGTTGAACAAGCTCAGTCACTTTCATAGGATTTACATTGGTGCCCTATATGCACATCTCAGTGTGCATTAGAAACATTTCCTGTACTGTGGGGCGGGCGCTACAGATCTATAGAGAGGCTAATTGGTGATTGGATTGGCTGCCCACAGAGCACGCTGCACAGCCCATCCCCTCCGTGCACTAGGAACATCTCCCATGCTTGTGATGGGAAGATATTCCCAATGCACGGTGGGATGCCTGTGGGGCGTGCTGCTGCTGACTGGTTGGCTAACCTTGGGCACTTAACAAGGTTTGTGTTGCTGAGTTTAACTTGTATTTAGGTGTTGGACTTTACCCTGCGCGCTGTGTACAATATCTCTCTTTTCATAGAAAAAAAAAAAAGATGAGTGCAAAGGGAGGATGATATAGAAAGTGTAAAGGCTCAGTTTGCAAGTAATACAAACACAATCATATAGAATGCAAAACCTTGTATTTTGTATTATTTTTATTATATATATATATATATATATATATATATGAATTCTTCCAAATTGAGCAAACAACATATTAACTCTTGACATCAGTGGGATTTATGTAGTATTAAATACGATCAGATGAGCAGTAGCCAGTAGAGCTGTCCCTTCCCTAACATTGATATCCTTGATTGGATACACATCAAAGTAGATGCACATGGGAAACAATAAGCTTAAATTTTGCAAGTATCATTAAATTTGCCAGAAACTCGTTTGCAGTTTGCTTCAATTTGGGTGGGTTCTGATCTGATCTGACCATCAAATGTTATGTTTCATTTTTATTTATTCCTATATTTTAAATCTGAGCTAAAGACTTGCATTTTGGTTTTGTGTGGTTCACATAAATAGTTCTGAGTTATAGAAGATTATATCAGGGGGTTTCTCTCCAAAATGATTATTGTTGTGCACCCTTTACAAGTTTTGGTTCAACTTTGCTTCCATGAATTATACCTATCCAAGTTTAAATGGATTTATTTGGGTTTAGAGTATAAATAAAAGAAGAAAAATGAATTAAGGGTCCATTTGGTTTGCAGTCGAAATCGGAATCGAAATCAGAATGGTCCATTCCCATAATCTGTTTGGTTCAGACAAGAATGAGATAATGGAAATGAGAATCATCAGGAATGGGATTTCAGGGAATGGCCATTCCCTCAAATGGGGGAATGCCATTCCAGCAAGAACGAGAATGGGATTCTGAATCCGCCCAACCAAAATAGTCCATTCTGATTCCGCTTCAAGACTCCTATTCCCACGAACCAAACGAGAGGCCTAATATCCGTTAATTGGGTCGGAATCTTTAATTTGAGAAAACATGTTTTTTGAACCCAAAAATCCAACAACCCGTTATTAGTTTCAGTTTTAGAGAGAGAGAGAGAAAAGATGCATTACACAATCAAGAACATGTTTTCTGCTTTCTTGTTTTAAGAACCAGTGATCCATTAAAGCTGGTGCACCATCTTTGTCCCATGTCTGTAACCTCTGACAAACTCTCCTCCCTCATCAATTCAATTGAATTATCTATCAATCCCATCCCTCTTTCAATCTCCATCCCTGCAAGGCTGCAATTGCAACAACCAGAGTCTCCTAAGATGGGTCTAAACTCAAACACAGTTGACAAGGTTCTACTGTCTTACGACCACATTACCATTTGGATCTTCCTAAGCTTCACTGTTATCATCTACAACAAGTACATTCTCGATCCAGAGCTTCACAACTGGCCATTCCCCATCTCCCTCGCCATGGTCCACATGTCTGTCTGTTCCATCCTAGCTTTCCTCCTCGTCCGAGTCTTCCAACTGGTCGACTCTGTCTCCATGCCCAGAGACATCTACGTCTCCTCTGTCATGCCCATTGCTGCTCTGTATTCTTTGAGCCTCTGCTTCTCCAACTCTTCTTATATTTATCTCTCCCTCTCATTCATCCAAATGCTCAAGGCCCTATTGCCTGTGGCTGTATACTCCATCAGCATCAGCCTCAACAAAGAAGCTTTCAGCTCTCATGTCATGGCTAATATGATCGTTGTATCAGTCGGTGTTGCCATTGCTGCCTATGGTGAAGCCCACTTCAGTACCTGGGGCGTCTACCTTCAGCTTTCCGCCATTGCACTTGAAGCGACTCGATTGGTCCTGACTCAAGCTCTACTTACGTCCAAAGGGATCAATCTGAATCCCATAACCTCTCTTTTCTATGTGGCGCCATGTTGCCTTGCTTTTCTCTCCATCCCCTGGTTCTATGTGGAATTCCCCCTTCTTACAGAGTCATCGTCGTTGCTTCTTGATTTTCCAATCTTATTGTCCAACTCTTTCTGTGCAGCCGCGCTCAACCTGGCAGTCTTTCTGCTACTAGCTGGTGAAAGCTCGGCGCTCGCGATGAATGTGGCTAGTGTTGTTAAGGACTGGCTTCTCATTGCCTTCTCTTGGTTGGTTACCAGGAAAACGATTACTTCTGTTAATCTTTTTGGGTACGGTATTGCATTTATTGGTGTATGCTTCTATAACCACAGAAAATTGCAGGCTTTGAAGCCGGAGGCACAGAAGAAGAGAACCCAGCAAGCTGATGAGGAGGTTGGAATTAAACTGATGATACAGGCAGAAGACAGTTTTCCAGGTTCTTGTTTTTCTTTTCTTGATCAGGCTCACTAGCCACTTCCATATTGAAGGAAAGTTAAAGCTCAACCCAAAAACGCACATTGTAACTAAGTAGTAACTCAATTGCACGTAGAACATATTTAGGATGCAGTTTTATTCCGGCGATCATAAATTTCTGCAGCATAGACCTCCATACCCGCCGGGGAAAACGTTTTTTCTTATAGTTGCACAGGATACAGCTTATCTTATAGTGAGCAATTTTGCAATTTGAGATGGGCATTATTGCAATACGAGGGTTTATGAGATGTTGGGTGTGAGTTGGTGGACTTTGAATGGTAATTGCTATTGGTTGTCACAAGAATATTCTTATTGGGAGAGCTTCACCAAAGATTTTGATGAATTGGATTCTTTTTTAAGTTTCCTTTTATTATACTTTCAGACACACCCGCTATCAAATTGCGTTTTTTATTTTTCTTTATTATATTTTCTTTTAACAATCAATCATTTATCCAATTAAATGTCTAGAAATAAAGCTTAAGGGGCGTTCTTTTTTTAGATTTATGTGGAGACTTATTTTCCTGGGTTACCTATCTCTTAGGTAGGTAAATAACTTTTTCACCTAAAGGAAAAGTTGTCGACACTTGAATGGGACAAAAATACCCTTTTTAATAATGGATTTTTATAGCTAAAATAGTCATTGCCTTATTTACATGAGAAATAAAAGAACATGGGCAAATGCACTTACTCGAGAATAAATGTTTCTCAAGAAAAACTTACCCAATTAATTGCATTTACCTAGGTAAATAACTTACTAAAAAGCAAACGGGACCCAAGTTTCAATCTAAATATCACAAGAGAAAGATTATAGAGAAACCTTTTTATATTTCTTTTCTTAACTGGTAAAAATATCAAGTAATACAAAATCATGTTTATGGTAGATTTAGGACTTAGTGCACTATCCTAAATTGGAATAGGAAATTGAAATCTTTTTTTTTGTAACTTTCTTTTTTATTGTTTTTTAATTTGCATTTAAGAAATTGCTTTAAAGGCTTAGTTTGAAGGAATAGAAATGCAAACATGCAGAACAAAACCTTGCATTTTGTATGTATTTTGTACTTTCCAAATTGAACCAGGAGAGAGTACAAATACAAGGTTTATAAATACACTATACAAGATTTTGTACTATAAATATTTGTATTTGTATTCTTCCCAAACCGAGCCTAAATTTCTCTTGATGAGTAACCAACCCATGTCCACGAGGGCCTGTTTTGGCTCTCTCCTCAGAAGGTGGAAAACCTGCAGTTTTTTAAGAGATCAAATCAAATTGGAAAAAGAAGTGAATCTCTCTCAAGTAATGTTAGAGAATAAAAACATATTCAGGGACCTTACCAACAGTTCTTTCACATGGTATCCGAGTTTATTTGGCTAAGTGGTCTAATGTTCGATTCTTGCCACCTCAATAATTATTAATTGAATTTCAACACAATGGTGGCTTATACTTGTTTACACTTCAAACCAAACACGCGTGTTAGATATAACAACCTATATTCAGGACTTTACCTAACAGCTTAAACTTTTAGGTTTTATGGGTTCCTTGGCAAGTAGTAATATCATAGATTGCCTAGGAATGGCTAACAAAGGATGGTGTGGGCACGTGGCAACTCTTTTGAAGTGATTTTTTTATTGATTTTAGACTGTCTTCAGCTTGATCAAGGACTTTAATGTTTGTTTCTCGCATGTGAAGCGTTCTGCTAATCATGCTGCCCATATTGCAGCACATAAAGGCCTATATTTGTCCACTTGGGATTTCCTACTCACTTTTTCTATCCTCGTGAATTGGAGTTACACATCTCTATTATGAATTGAGACATGTGTGGCTACAATTCACCATAGGTAGAAAGTGGATAGAAAAAGTGAATAAGAAATCTGGGCTCATATTTGTCAGGCCTGTGGGTGAATTCAGCTCTTAGTTCGCTCTAATTAGATGTGTTGGATGAGGACCTCATGGGTGATGGAGTTGGGGCTTCTTAAGCTTATTTTCTGTTGATTCTGTTGCTGTTGTTTAATTTGTTGTAGAAGTTTTCTCTTTTTTGCTGCTAAAAGGAGATAAGTCCTTAAAATAAAGAATGCCAAATGCAACCTTAATCTTTTCTTCTGTATTTGTGGCTGCTGGTGTCGTTCTGTCGTGGGGTTTTTAGGTTTGGCATGGTAGTGTTTTCCCTTTTAGTCTCTGGTATGTGTGGTTTCTGTTGGTCATTGTTTCTTGTTGGTTTGCTTGTTACTTCGTTAGCTCTTTTGGTGAATTTGCTTTGTTTGTTTTCTGGTTTGCCACGTTGTTGTTTGCAAGTTCCTCAGTATATGTCCCAACTTCCCTGAAATATATGATGGGCCCCTTTTTCTTTTGCCCTTTTCTTATGCCTGATCACGCAGGGTGCAAATGGATCGGATTGTCGGATCCGATCCGATTCTATTTGGTCAAATTTGGACCATTCTGTTTGGATATTCGGATTGGATTGGATTCAGATTACCCCCACTATCCAATCTCATATATATTATATATTTATAAATATATATATATATGTTATTTATTTATTTATAAATATATTTTTATAAATTTGGTATATGATTTTATTTTTTTATAAAAAGCATCTATATATATGATGAAAATAATTAAAAAATACTCGTATTTCTGTTTTTACTTTATTTAAATTAGTATATTTTATTTTTCTTGTAATAATTTATTAATTTTTAAAGAAAACAAGTCAGATCGGATTACATTCGAAGATCCCACTTACTGTCCGAATCCTATCAGATCGGATTGGATCCAACATAAACAATGTCATATCAGATTCAAATCCAATCCGATCCATTTGCATCCCTACTGGATAGGGATATGCTACCAAAAAACTGTTAATCATGTCCCAACAAGCAATTACAACCTCACATTTAAAATAAATTGAGATCTTCTGCCAATAAAATGTCCCAACACCCTACCAATATGATCTCACACCACACATCTCACCATAAGATTGAAACTCACCATAAACATAAAAGTAGGACCTACAGATTGAGATACGTAGTGTCAGATTATATTGGTAGGGTTTTAAAAGGCATTTTATTGACACCTTGTATTAGTAGCTGATCTGAAATCGCCAACTTTACACCATATTTTAGAAGGGCCCTTGGGGCTAATCCATTCAACCATCAGGTAGGTTCGCAGCTCTACACACATGAAATACCGAGAATTTAGAGAATTGATGCCGTAGTCTATCAGCACTGTAATATTCATTTGCGGTTCGATAATTGTTGGTGGATGAGATCATGAGATACAACCACCGTGGTCCATCAGGATCTTCGTAGTTCCAAAAATATTTAATGCACGTCTCGTCTGAAATTTTACATCAATGCCCTGTCTCAATTTCCACCACATAAACCACCAAACTCTTCAAGTGGCGACGAGCGGCTACGGCAATCTCTGGACCGGAATAAATGTCCAACAACTAATGCATCGTTTATATTCCTTTCAAGCTGAGGTTAACCGATTCAAAGATCAACCCAGCCGGGAGCCGGCCAGGCAGGTACTTATGATTTACAAAAACAAAAATTGCCCGTGTTTTCTTAAACCATCAAATGTAGCAGTGGTTTTTGTTTTTCAAAACAAAACCAACTATATTGTCACACACCCCCTAATGTTTCATCTTAATTTATTTGTTTGTTATTTATTTATTATTTTCATATTTTAATTCTGGGATAAAGACTTGCATTTTGGTAAACAAAAGGCTCTTGATAGAGCATAATGGTGGGAAGGAATTTGTATACTTCAACTAAATAGTTGTGTTGCTTACCAAAAAAACTAAATATATGTACTTTTTGGTGGAAAAAAAAAACAAAATGCTTATTTTGTTTTCTTATTTTTGAAATATGTCACATCAGCAATAAAAGAAAAATGCTTATGAATATATGTTTTCACAAAATAATAAACATTAATTTTAATTTCAATATTGTTCAGGAAATAACTTTATTTGTGAAACAAAATAAATGATGCTTTCAGAAAGAAAAACATACTTTTATTTCTATTTCTATGATTTTTTTTTGCTAGTTGTAGCAGAGACATGGGGTTGATTCCTATAAAAAATGGGAAAATTCCCGAACAGTACCCTGTACTTTGGCTCGAGTGATAATTTGGTACCCAAACTTTAAAATGCAACAACCCAGTACTCGAACCTTCAAAATGTGATAATCCAGTATCTGTCGTTAATCAGTCCGTTAATCAGTTAGTACGTGATATTTGAAAAGTTGAAAATGCCCTAAGAATGCCATATAATTCTCTTTATCAACCATCTAAACATTGACAATAAAATAAACAGTTCCAAATTCTAGATTCTTCTAAACAGTCACCAATTTTTTTGAATAGAAGAGGCTAGGATTTAGGACTGTTCAGATTTTTGTCAATGTTTGGATAGTTGATAAAGAGAATTAGATGGCATTCAAAGGGCAATTTTGACTTTTCAGATGTCACTTAACAATTGATTAACGGACTGGTTATTAATGACAGATATTGAATTGTCACATTTTGAAAGTTTGGATACTGGGTTATTACATTTTGAAAGTTCAAATACTAAATTATTGTATTTTAAAGTTCAAGTACCAAATTATCACTCAAGCCAAAATATAGGATACTGATCAGAAATTTTCCCATAAAAAAAACTTTACTTACTCCGGTGAAAAATGCAAGCATCCTTCCAAACACCACAGTGGTAGACGATTATCAGTTGGCTTAATTGGTCAGTTGCCCTTCTAGCCAGTCACTAGCTCAACTACATGTACACCGCCACATCAAGATTTTCTTTGAAAAGTGAGATCATCGCCAGCTTAAGAAAAAGGAAGCATCATACTACCATTTTTTATCTTCTATGGTACTTCCAATGCAGCCTTACTTTCATTTTCAAGCTTTCGAGTTGAATTCGACCTTAATAATTTGATCAAACTGATTTCGAATAGAAAAATATAATTTGAATTAAATTCAAGTTCGAATTTCAATAATAGTATTTTAATCAATCAAGCTAAGACATGCCAAAATTCATTTGGGCTTGGCTCGTTACACCTCTATTCTTGATCATTGAGTTGGTGGGGCTGTTTGTCATTTACTGACTTGGCTATTTCTTCTGAATCTGGAAAATGCTTTTTAATTTGAACACCCCTATGTCCCAACTTCCATGAAATATATGATGGGCCCCTTTTTCTTTTGCCCTTTTCTTATGCCTGATCACGTAGGTGTGCAAATGGATCGGATTGTCGGATCCGATCCGATTCTACTTGGTTGATTTTGGACCATCCTATTTGGATGTTGGGATTGCATTGGATTTAGATTACTCCCACTATTTGATCTGATAAAATATATATGTTATTTATTTATATATAAATATATTTTTATAAATTTTGTATATGATTTATTTTTTATAAAAAACATTATATATATGATAAAATAATTAAAAAATACTGTATTTTTTATTTTTATTTAAATTAGTATATTTTATTTTTCTTTTATTAATTTATTAATTAAAAAAAAAACAAGTCGGATGGGATCACATCCAGATCTGACTTATTCATAGGATTCAAATTCAAATCGAGTCCTATCAAACGGATTGGATCCAACATGAACAATGTCAGATCAGATTCGATCCATTTGCATCCCTACTGGTTTGGGATATGCTACCAACAAAACTATTAATCATGTCCCAACAAGCAATTGCAACCTCACATTTAAAATAAATTGGGATCTTCTGCCAACAAAATACATCCCAACACCCTAGCAACATGGTCTGACACCATACATCTTACCATGTCCCAGATTTTCTACTCACTTTTTCTATCCACTCTCTACCCATCGTGAATTGAAGCCATACATCTTTCGATTTATAATAGAGATGTGGCTTCAATTTATGGCGGATAAAAAATGGGTAGAAAAAGTGAATAAAAAATCCCGAGTAAAGATTGAGACCCACCATAACCATAAAAATAGGACCTAACATGTATGAGATTGAGATATGTAGTGTCAGATCATATTGGTAGGGTTTTAAAAGGCATTTTATTGGCAGGAGAACCCAATTCATCGAAAACACATTTCCCTTGTAATTCATGAAGAAATATTCCAATAAAGGCTGTAGTGGCCGATTGGGACATTAATCACGCCTTGTATTAGTAGCTGATCTGAAACCGCCTACTTTACACCATATTTTAGAAGGGCCCTTTGGGCTAATCCATTCAACCATCAGGTAGGTTTGCACGGGAGCAGTAGCTGCATTCGCAGTTCTACACACATGAAACGCCGAGAATTGATGCCGTAGTTTATCAGCACTGTAATATTCACTTGCGGTTCGATAATTGTTGGTGGATGAAATCATGAGATACAACCACCGTGGTCCTTCAGTAGTAAATATTTAATGCATGTCTCGTCTGAAACTTTACACCAATGCCCTGTCTCAATTTCCACCACATAAACCACCAAACTCTTCAAGTGGCGACGAGCGGCCACGGCAATCTCTGGACCGGAATAAATGCCCAACAACTAACTGGTTCAAAGATCAACCCAGCCGAGAGACGGGGCGGGTTAGTTGGAGACAAAAACATACACACCCGGCTGAATTATCTATCATGGTTGAATATGCTATACCAGTATTTAGTACAGCTTGATCCCTGATTGAGCCCATAATGAGCATGGTGTGTTCAATCGTGATAGATAGTTCAGCCGGGTGTATATAACTTTATCTCCAGCTCATCCGGACTGCCGGGAGCCGGCCAGGGAGGTACTTATGATTTACTAAAACAAAAATAGCCCGTTCAAACTTCAAACCATGTCTGGGACTTTGGGATGAATAGTCAGTTAGTTTAGTTCTACAACCAGAGGCCCGGAGCTCCAAAACCACTTTCTTATCTAACAGCAGACTCATCTATTTATATCCACATACCGAGACCGACTGACTGACTTGCTCAAGCTGATCACCGCCTCAACAAACAAATATCCTCAATATATTCTCAAGCAAGCAGCAGTTAGTTCCTCGATGGCCACAGGCGGGAGCGACGTCAAACTTTTGGGTGCATGGCCGAGCCCGTTCGTGATGCGGGCAAGGATCGCCCTTAACATAAAGTCCGTGGACTACGAGTTCCTCCAGGAGACATTTGGCTCCAAAAGCCAGCTCCTCCTCCAATCCAACCCTGTCTACAAGAAAATCCCAGTTCTCATCCATTCCGACAAGTCCGTCTGCGAGTCCCTCGTCATTGTTCAGTACATCGATGAGGTCTGGTCCTCTGGACCCTCTATTCTCCCTTCCGACTCATACGATCGCGCCATAGCCCGCTTCTGGGCTGCCTACATCGACGACAAGGTACGCCGCATGCATGAGAGAGCAAATCCCTGCCGTGTATTGAGAACATCTCCCAATGATGATATCATCATCGGGGGATGTTTATAATACACGGCGGCGGGGATGTGTTGTGGGGGGCTGATTTGAACTCCGCATGCAGTACGCTTTCCATCTTTTCATATCTTAATTTGTTTCTCCATCGTCATGTGTGTCATGTCACGCAAGTTCTATTAATATATATATATATATAACGTCGTTGGGTTGGTGCAGTGGTTTCCTTCGCTGTCTGGTATACCAAAAGCGCAGGGAGAGGATGCCAAGGCAGCGGCAATAGGCCAAGTGCGCGAGGGGTTGGCGTTGTTGGAGGAGGCATTCGGAAAGTGTAGCAGAGGCAAGGGGTTCTTTGGTGGGGAGCATATTGGATACCTTGATATAGCTTTAGGCTGTTTCTTGGCGTGGCTCAAGGTGGCCGAGAAGACCAATGGCATAAAGCTGCTCGACGAAGAAAAGATGCCTGCGCTTGTGGGATGGGCAGAGCGGTTTTGTTCGGATGTTGCCGTGAAGGATGTGATGCCCCAGACCGAGAAACTGATGGAATTCGCTAAAATGCTGTTCAATAAGCCTGTCCTTCCAACTAAATTAATCAACGGGTAACATACTAGCTGAGATACTAGACCGAAAAACTGGGGCCATGTTTAGGTTCTGAACTATTAATTTCTCGTCCTAGCTAGTCAGTTGCAACCGCGCTTTGCTTTAATGGTTTCACATCCTCCTAGCTGTCTCCATTAATTAATGGGCATCGTTCTTACTTGAATGGGAAAGTGGTACTCGATCGGTTGCTGTCTCCTAATAAAGCTAAACACTTTTGGATTGGGATTTTTCTGTCTGGAACACTTGGATTGAATTCATTATGCTTTAACAATTAACACTCGATTGTGAATCTTTTATCTCGGACAAGTCAGAAGCACTCCGGATCCAGTGATCTCCGTCTGGACTCGAAGGGATTTTCTCTTCGTCCCCTACATCGAAACTCTCACGTTCTCAACCTTCTTCCCCAACCATTAATCGGACGACAAACCCTTCCTCACGGTTGTGCCTTTGGATCTGCAAGACAAACCCTCACATTCTAAATCAGAAAAAACGCTCATGTTCTCAGTCCAAATAAAACACAAACCCTGCTCGCCCAACCATTAATGGGTAAACAAGGTTGTTCTGGCTTTGGATTTGGAAGACACGAGGCGTCTTCTTCTTCCTCCGCACGAAGCTTCTGCAAGTAAAAACAATAGCTCCAAAGATATTCTTTTAAGAAAAAATATATCTAAGCATGGCTCTCAGAAGGAAAATAAACAAAGATAGTTTTGTTGGAAGATAAATCTCTCGTACCCATTCAATTGTGGTCGGATACATATATAAAGCTCAGGCTTGATGGCCGTTACAACCCAAATGAAAAAGACAAAATAAAAAGGCTAATGATTGTTAATGATGGGCAGGAAATATTTATGCTGTAACAAACTTTGCAATTCTGTTACTCTCCACCAACTGTCCTGTAGCAAAAGACCACGTTAGCCTCTGCATGTCAATGTGGCGTAACACTCCCTCCCCCTTTGAAAGCAGCCTTGTCCTCAAGGCTAGATTGAGGAAATTTCTGTTGCAGTTCCGTGAGTATTTCCCAAGTGGAATATGTTGCGAGGGTTCCTTGCCATTGAACCACTACCTCTGTTACTGCCTTGTTGCCTTGTCGTTTCAATCTTCTGTCAATAATTGCAGCTGGCTGGGGTTGGAGTGTGTCGTCATCCGTTAGTGGTGGAAGAGTGGCTTGGGCATGAGAGCTGTCTCCAACCTTGGCCTTTAACCAAGACACATGGAAAACAGGATGTAAATGGCAACCTTCTGGTAATGCTAGGCAATATGCAACTGGACCAATTTTCTCTGTTATTTTGAATGGTCCGTAAAAACGAGTTGCTAGCTTCTGAGACTTACGAACTTCCACTGTGCTCTGCCGATAAGGTTGCTGCCTCAAGTATACCCAATCTCTGATGTTAAAATTCATTTATGTTCTCTTCCGATGTGCCATTTTCTTCATTCTGTCTTGGGCAAAGAGTAAATTTTGTTTAAGTTTTTGCAGAGTCCTTTCCCTTTCCTGTAATTCAGCCTCCACTGCTGGTGCTTGAGTTGTTCCTGGGACGTAGGAGATCAAGTTTGGTGGGGGATATCCGTATAGTGCCTGAAAAGGGGTGGTTTTGGTGGCAGAATGGAAAGTGGTGTTATACCACCATTCTGCTAAAGGCAGCCATCTACTCCAATTCTATGGTTGTTCACTGGTGTAGCATCTAAGGTAGGTGTGTTCCCTGAAGTTTGAAAATTTCTCTCCAAAAGTTGCTGGTGAACAGAGGGTCTCGATCACTTACAATTGTCTTGGGCATTCCATGCAATCTGAAAATTTCTTGGATGAATACCTTGTCCAGGTCAGAAGCAGAGAAAGGGTGGGTTAAGGCAATGAAGTGTGCAAACTTAGTTAATCGGTGGTAGTTTTCCTATTGGAAGAGGGTAAGCCTTCAATGAAATCCATTGAGAGTTTAGACCATGCTTGTTCTGGAATGGGTAGAGGTTGTAGTAGTCCGGAGCACGGTAGGTTTTCTACTTTGTTTCTCTGGCAGATTTCACACTCCTTTACCCAATATTTAGCTTCAGCTCGATAGCTTTTCCAACAACAAATCTTCCTTAATCTTTGTAGGGTATTGTAGTACCCTGAATGTCCTCCCCCTGGGGCTGAGAGGGCTTCCTCAAAAAGTCTCCTTGTAAATATTGAATTTGGACTTATTACTAGCTTCTCCCCCTTCCATAGCAGCCCATTTTTAATTGAATATTTTTCTATGGGCTCCCTGGCTACATTTGATATCATCTTCTATAGATGTTCATCTTCTGCTATCTCTCTCTTGAGCTCTTCAATCCAGCTTGGAATTGGAGCAGATATGGCCATTACTTCCCCTGCTTCTTTGCGCGGTAGAGCATTTGCAACTGAATTGTCTGACCCTTTTCTGTAGCAAACTTCATAATCAAAACCCAAAAGTTTGCTAATAAGTCTTTGCTGGTTTGGAGTTGCAATCTTTTGCTCTAAAATATGCTTTAAACTCCTGTGGTCTATCAAAATTTTAAACCTTTGACCCATGAGATAGGACCTCCACTTCTGCACTGCTATCGCTAATGCTAGCAATTCTTGATCATATGTTGACAAGAACTGATACTTTCCTTGTAGTGCTTTGCTGAAGAAGGCTATTGGACGCCCTTGCTGAGAGAGAACAACTCCTATTCAAATTCCACTAGCATCAGTCTCCACTGTAAATGGTTCTTGATAGTTGGGGAGAGCTAGTATCGGGGTTGTGGTCATGATTCTCTTGAGTTTCCTGAAAGCTTCCTTGGCTTCGTCACTCCATCTCCATCCTCCCTTTTTAAGCAGTTGTGTTAGGGTTTGGTTAGGATGCCATAGTTTTGGATAAACCTTCTGTAGTAACCAGTGAGACCCAGGAAACCTCTAAGGCCTTTAACTCCCTTGGGTGTGGGCCAGTGAAGAACATCTTCAATCTTAGCTGGGTCTACTTTTGCCCCCAATGGTGATATTATGTGGCCTAGAGATACTTGATCCTTTCAACCCCGAACTGACATTTGCTTCTTCTTGCATGTAGTTGGTGTTGTTTGAGAACTTCCACTACCTTCTTCAAGTGTTCAACATGGTCCTCTCAAGATTTACTGTAAATTAAGTTATCATCAAAAAACACCAGCACATATTTTCTAAGAAAATCTCTGAAGATGGAATTCATAAGAGATTGGAAGGTTGAGGGGGAATTAGACAGCCCAAAGGGCATAACCAAGTACTCGTAATGGCCTTCGTGTGTACGGAATGTTGTTTTTGGAACATCCTCGGGTTTGACTCTGATTTGATGATAACCTGACCTCAAGTTCATCTTTGAAAAAATTACAGCTCCCTGTAGTTCATCCAGGAGTTTGTCTACTACAGGCATTGGGAATTTGTCCTTCACGGTCACTTGATTTAGGGCTCTATAATCTACACAGATTCTCCACCCACCATCCTTCTTCCTGACCAAAAGAACAAGGGATAAAAAAGGACCGGTACTTGGCCGTATCACCCATTCCTTCAACAACTCCTTTACAATCTGCTCAATCTCATTTTTTTTGGTAATAGGGGTATCTATAAGGTTTGACGCTGATGGACTTGTTATCCTTCAATGGAATGGCATGATCACAGTGACGTGGAGGGGAAAGTCCCATGGGTTCAACAAACACATCATGATATTCTTTCAATAGCTTATGAATCTGAGGTTCCAGGTTCATCTGCTGTTCCTCTCCTCCTTTCAGCTGAATCAAGAACAGAAGGACTCCCTTCTCAGCATCCTTAGCAGCTTTGGCAGCCTCAATCATGCGGGGGGGTTGTGTCTGTAATCCCTTCAAGGTGTGGTGGCCTTGGCTGTCTTCAAATTGTAGGAACAAAGAGGAGAAATCTCATACAACTGGTCCCAGTGTCTCTAACCATCGGGCCCTCAATACTGCATCGTAGCCCTATAGGGAGAGTAGATAGAAGTCAGCTATTATGGTGGTTCCTTGAGTTTTGATCGGTACCTGTGGGCATTTCCCGGCCCCTTGTATCTTTTCTCCATTGGCGACCAACATTTCGAACTGTGTTTGTGTCACTGGAATCATTCCTGCCTTCTTCGCTATCCTTGGATCCAATAAATTGTGGTGGATCCCGTATCCACCAACATTGTTACTAGTTGCTGGTTTATCAGTCCTTGGAGTCACATGGTTTTTGGAGAACTAGACCCTGAGATTGCATGGAGGGGTATTTTTGGAACTGACACCTCCCCTTCGTTTGGATCTTCCTCAACTTCATCGCTTGGGTCTTCTCCCTCCATCAGTCCCATAACCCAATACAACCGTTGAGTCTTGCAACGGTGGCCAGGGACATTTTTCATCACAGTGGTAACAAAGGCCACACTCCTTCCTATCCCGTGCTTCTGTTGGAGTCAGCCTTTTTGATTTCTGGAACTGGTTTAGTGGTAGTAGAGGAATTTATTATCAGAGGTTTTGTTTTCAGTGATTCACCACGTACCTGTCGGCGCTTGACCGTCCACTCTTCTTCCTCTAGCAAGGCCAAGTGAAATGCTCAGGTGAGAGAGGTGGGTTCGAACTTCTCCACTCCAGCTCGGACTTCAGGCTTCAGGCCAGAAATGAAGCAGCCCGTAAGGTATTCTTCGTTCAGTCCTTTAACCCGGCTAGATAGGAGTTGGAATTGATCCATATACTCCTGTACCGAGGTGGTCTGAGCTAATTTGGAGAGTCTCCTTGCTATATTAGTCCCCTGCACGCCGTTGTATCGATGATCCAGTGCTTCCACAAACTGGTCCCAAGAGGGTTGTGGATAGTGCTCAATGAACCAGAAATACCACTCCACTACTCTTCCTTCAAATCCCAAGCTAGCAACCTAAATCCATTGGTCTTCGGTGATGCCTTGTAGACTTAACTTAGGGAGTTCCAACTTCGGTCTCCATGTTCTTGTGCCAATCCACCCCCCCGTCCTATTAGAATCTTCTGTTTCCTTGCCTCTATCGCCCACACCTTCTGAGATAGATCGATTGGTGTTCAATTCTAGATTCCCTCCTACCGGAGGTGGAGGACCCAGACGTTCTAGAATCTCTACCAGCTTGGCCATGACTCCCTCCTGGTTTCTCTCCAGGAAGTTCAACCTTTCTTCAAGATTCGACATCTCCTCTCCTGATGGGATGTCTGGCTCTGATACCAGACAAATATCGATCTCCTCCCGTCGTCGGGACGAGGTCGGCTTCTTCCCTTGAGCTATAGCGCCAGGCATGACTCTCAAAAGGAAAATAAACAAAGATAGTTTTGTTGGGTAAATCTCTCATACCCATTCGATTGTGGTTGGATACATATATAGAGCTTAGGCTTGATGGCCATTACAACCGAAATGAAAAAGACAAAATAAAAAGGCTAATGATTGCTAATGATGTGAGGGAATATTTCTGCTGTAACAAACTCTGCAATTCTGCTACTCTCCACCAGCTGTCCTAGAGCAAAATACCATGTTAGCCTCTACATGTCAATGTGTCATAACACTCTCAAAATTTCTATTTTAAATAGATTCTAGGGTTTCAGATTTTAGTATGGAAAAGTGCTATTACAGGTATTTTGAATACAAATCAATGGGTTCATTAGCTTTTTCGTTCTCCCTTTTTGGCTTATGTATTTTGGGGTTTTCAAAGATTAGAAACATAATTGGAGATTGGGAGCTTTGTTTCATCAGAATATATAATCTAGGCAAAAAAAATTTCTTTCAAGAAGGAAGGACAAAAAAGCTTAGACACAGTAGTTCGCACTTAAGCCTTAATCACTCTTTGATGTTTGTCATTGTCGTTAAAATCCATGGTTGCTGTTCTATTGCTGTTTGAACACTGTTGATGAAAGCTTGTTGTCGTTAATGGTTTGGGGAGCAAAGATTGAGTCTAGGAATGCAAGGGCTCTCGAGTATGGGGTATTCTGTCAGTATTTACTTGGTATATGTTTGGCATCGATGATGTAGATAACGGTGCTGCTGATGTGTGGGTTGTAAGCACCATTTTCTCAGAAAATGGTGTTTTTTTTGTTTGGAAATGTTGCTGTCAGGTAGGACATTTCTGGAGTAATAACAACATTTTCTATTTGGTACCAATGTTCCAGAAAACGTTTTCAGCACTGGTACCTATTATCTAGTGCCACAACAATGAGTTTCAGCTCCAGGAAACTCCAAATTCGGCATTGCTCCAAGCCACACTTTCCCGATTTCCAAGGTGTGGCTTGGAGCACTATTTTTTATGAAAAAACGGTTCCAAACAAACAAGCATTTCTTGGAGTAATGTTTTTTTCAACGTGGTGCTGATGTGTTGTCGTTTTATGGAGCAACGACATCGATGCCAAATAGACGCATAGTAGGTGTTTGGCATGGTGCTAGGAACACTGCACAGTTTTCTCATGAAAATGGTGCTAGGCATGTTTTCTGGGAAAGCAGCACTGGTTTTATTTGGTACTAGTGTTGTAGAATCGTTTTCAGCATTGGTCATATTATTCAACATCGAAGTTGATGCCACATCATTGCACCGCTGGCAACAACGAGCTATTTTCTAAGAAAACATCAAATTTGGTGTTAGTTCAGACCACACTTTCCCGATTTTCAAGGCATGGTATGAAGCAACATTTTTTTATGGAAAGATGGTACCAAATAAGATGTTTTTTGAAGCATTGCTTTTTTATGTGGTGCCTACATGATGCTATTTTCTCAAAAAACGACATCGATGCCAAACACCCACTTAGTTTTTGTTTATAAAGATTTTGTATCTTATCAATTTTTTATTTAAAAAAATTTTTGTCAGTCATAAAGTTTCAATCGTTTGTAGGTGACGGTTAGTTAAGCATCAAATGACATGTCAAAATTTTAGAGAAAATCTCTTTGATTCCAAACGCACTAGATTTTGAGTCGACAAGAAGGGGTGAAAATACATTTTTAGAAGGGGGAGAGTTAGTCAATGGGATTTTGGTTCCCGAATAATTTTCTTGGTGGATAAATAACTTTTGAAGAAACTTTCACTTTGGTACCTGAACTTTAGGGTAATGTCAAGTTAGTACCTGAACTTCAAAATCGTGTTACTAGTGCCCAAACTTTTGAAAACCGTCAATTGAATACTTGCCGTTAGTAGTCCATCAATTAAATAACACACGTGATGTCACACGTGATTTATAACATTATGAAATTCCAAAATTACCCATTTAAAGAAGACGTTGTTCATTGTCTTCTTCCTTCAACTTGAAACTAAACTAGAGTAACCCCGAGAATGATCAAGTGCTCTTCCTAACCACCACCCTCTCCCGTTAGCCCCATTTTGGGAACTCTACTTCCACCAAACCAAACCTAGCAACAACCTAGCAAGCAGAAACCAAAGGCCCTCTTTAATATCTACATCCACGTTGATCCCTCTTACACTTATCACCTGCCCTTTCGTGGTGTCTTTTCTTGTTAAGTCATCCATTCCGATTTCCGACGACCCTCACGAATGTGAACTAGAGATGGAGCCAAGGCGGGCATCCCCATACATATGGAGTATCGGAAGCGAGAGCAGAACTCATAATTCTCTCAGGCGTGATAGATTAAGATATGGTAATGGTGGAGCCTGGAATAGTTCAAAAACTATTCGCAACCATACTACATACGTTCCTGTTTGCACGGAAATTTCCGCTAGAATCACCGGAGATGATGATGAGTCTAGCAAGTGATGCCATATTCCAGGACTGAAGATGCCAGATGATTATAGAGCCTTCCCAGCCTATATGGTATAGATTTTCATCCCAGTAGCAGTGACGACAAAAGCCCATTTATATAGGAAGTTACTGTAATCGAACAACTCTGACAGGAACACCTTCATGCCGAAGAAGTGACGACCGATGAAGCGGTTGGAAGGAGAACCGAAGGCAAAGGCAAACCCAAAGAGATAGTAAAATAGATCACCGACGGCTGCATTCAGCACGTTGGTGAGCATTATGTTCATGGTGCTCTTGGCGTGAACTGAGCCGGCATAGAGCATGGCGAAGCCTAGTTGCATAACGAAGACGAGGTAGGTCCAGAAGAGCTGGTAACTATTGTCGATGGCATGAGCTGCGTCTGTGAAACTATTCTGCACGGCACTAAACTGGTTGTAGATATAATCGGCGACGACAATGGCGTTAGCGGTGCCATTTAATAGTGGGACGAGATTGGATGCCACATAGGTTAGAGACACCATGGTCAGACGTCTAGAGAGAGAAATGCAGAAGAAAATTGGAGTATTGAATTCTGCGACTTCAGAGAAATTTTGGTCCCTCGGGAACCATTTTTATATCTAGAGAGACCGAGTGAGATATGCTCCAAGCCAAACGAGAGGATCTGACTTGTGTTTTGACTTATTTAGGTACGTAACATGATTGTCAGATGTCTTTACGGGTAGTAAAAGTATTTATTTAATTTATAGAGAGACCGAGTGAGGTACTTTTCATGCACAGTTCATTGTCTTCTTCCGGAAAATTAAATGATGTCCAAAGGGCATTTGTGTCATTTCACATACCACTTACCATTTTAAACTAAATTGATAGATTTCAAAAGTTTAGATACTGAAGTAACACATTTTAAAGTTAAGATGCTAACTTGATACTACCCCCACAGTTGATAGGAGAAAATTACTAATATTTAAAGGGAGACAAAAACTTTTGGGAGAATGAAAGTTCAGCCCAGGGTCAGAATATTTAGGCCCAAAGTACAGTTGGGGTGGGTGCCAAATCCAAATTGATGCTAATTCACGGGAAGGCATTGGTGTATAGAGTAAAAATTTGACATTTTGAATGTTTATGAGTCTGCAGTAGAAATAAAAAATCTGCATTGGACCTATCTGTATTTCTCAAAAAAATGTTCTAATTTTTTTTAATAATGAATTTTTATGACAAATAGAAAATAAGTTATCGAGGGCCTAAAGAAGTGAGTCCGGATCTCCTGCCCATGAGAACTCTACCCACAATTATCGCAGTCACACATGAAGAACATCGGGGAGATGTTCCAAATTCACGGGGATAGTGTATTGTGGGTAGGCATGAGCAGAATTCTCGTGGGCAGGAAATCCGGACAGATAAAGATTTGTTTTACATCAACTGTGGACACAAATCAAGCTATCTGCGAACAATTAAAGCTTGATTCGCCAAATTCCAAATCGAGTCAACTGGGTCAAGTAATATGAACCTCGACTCGTAAATAATAAATTTTAGGCACCTAACCGAGCTTTATTACCTGAATTTTCAAATGTGCTAGTACCTGAATGTAATGAAATATTAGGAACCTAACCGAATACTTGAATTGTCAAATGTACCGGCCTAAACTTTGGGGATAGCCTTACTTTACGGCCTAAACTTTTAAATGTTCAAAAATTCAACTACGTAGAATAATGTTAAATTGAAGAGTAAAATTACAAAAAATGCCGATGTTTTGAGTTTTTTTTTTTTTTTTTCACAACTCATATTTAATTTGGACTTTGGACCAATCTAAAGGCAGCAAAGTAAGCATCTAAAAGAAACCAAGGCTCAAATATCAATACGTATTGTATTGGGAGCTTTCTAATACGCCCCTACAGAGAATGTATCGAGCAATATCAGTAGTTTTTTTAGTTCTTTTTTCCAAATCCGGTTAAAATAGAGACTATATAGACTGGGATGAGCTTACTGTCCAAAGCAATGTTTTCAAACCATCGTTGACCCAGATGGTCAGACCATTCGGACCGAAAACCGTTCAGGCGACCGGTTCTATTTTACCCAAGGTTCAAAATATCGATACGCCAGTAGGGGCATATCAGGCGTTTTGATACTTTCTTGTTTACTTTTTTATTTATTTATTTTTTTTTCAAACCTAGTTTAAGAAAGCCGGTCTAGGACCCCTCCATCCCCTGAACCGATCAGACCCCCGATACACCCATTGTAGGGGCATATCGGAAGGGTCCCAGAATGATACATATTGGCTGATATGTAATGATACTTTGAACCTTGGTTTTACCCCAAACCCAGTCTTTGCCTCTTTGGTCAAAAACTGTTGAATTAGTCAATGAAGACCCGGATGGTTTGACCATTTGACCATTGAACTGTTCGACCCAAAGAACAATTTGTAGTTTATGAAAAGAGAAGAAAATCTCTCAAATCTAAGATCTACTGGAGAGAGAGAGAGAGAGAAGATCTACTTTCATCACCGTTGTCGTCGTCGTCGCTACAACATGCAAGTGACCTCCTCCTCTTCCTTCTTTTTCTCTTTCTCTCTCTCTCTCTCTTCTAAACTCTCTCAGCCATCAACAACTTCTCACATCTCTCTCATTCTCAAACAGTCAAACCTTTTTTTCTCTTGTATTTATATGCATTTTATCCTAATATTCCAATCTAATGGGTAAGATGACATATCACTAGTTACAATATTTAAACCGTTCGAACCATTTAACCCAAACAGTTGAATCGTTAACCCAAAAACCGGTGGCAAGAACAGTTCTGTTTCCGAGCTGATTTTTAAAACCTTGGTCCGAAGTCTAAAAATAAAAGATGAACAGTGAAAAAAGAGTTAGTCAAAACATAGGCATTTTTGTAATTTTATCTTTTACTATAACATTAGTTTAACGGAATTAGATTTAAATATATATTTTTAGAAGTTTAGAATTCAAATAATAAAGTGGCATATTTGAACGTTCAGACCCTAAAAGTGAGACTACCCCAAATACAAGATGTCTATCTGCAACTTAATTATCCTAGTATTTTTAATTTTTGAGTCATTTACTAAGATGCCCATATAGTTTCTCGTCTTTACCAAGACTCCCATAATAGTTACTCCACCTGCCGTTAGAAACCGTTTATATATCAATCACGTGATCTCTGAAAATAAATTTTTATTTCAAAAATGCCCCTAGCAAGTAGAAAGTCTCAACTTGTTACTAAAGCGAACAATTTACAGAAGATGATGGACTATAAGATGCACGGAGCAACAACACGAAAACCAAACAAAACGTCACATGCTAAAGAGTATCAAGACCTATGGTGTATCTAGTAGGTGTTTGGAACCGATGTCTGAAATGCTCACCGTTTGAAATCTATTACTGAAGAAATGCTCACTGTTTGGTTGGGCATTTTCCTGAAAAATGTTTTTTTTTTTTTTGTTTTTCTAATATTGCTAGCAACAGTATGCTGATGTGGCACTGAAAATGCCTATGTGGCAGCAATGGTCGCAAACAAGAAAAAAAAACTGTTTTATAAGAAAATGGCATACCTATGCAACACTGTTTTCTCCGACAAAACATCACCAACAGGATCAATTTATTAAAAATTTGTATTGATCAACCTGAAACATTGCAAGTAAAAGTGGCAATAGTACCAAAAACAACCTAATTTTACTGCTGAGTTGCAAGCAAATTTATTCCCACCTCGGGTGAGAGATTGTACTCAAAAAAAGTTGAAGATCTTCCAAAGAAACCTTCTATGAAATAGCAGTAACTTGAATTGAGAGAGACGTGCAAAAAAATTCTGTACATGTGTAAAAACAACCTGCCTTACACCCTTTTATAGATTGTAGAGAGTCACTTGGAAACATTTCTTGTACAGTCACGAATTTAAATTAGGTGATTGATCTTTCTGTACAGTAGCATGTGTGGACATTCTCCAACCAGTTTCAGCAGCGACAAGGAAAAGAGAATGGGATTACAAGGGAGGGGGGTGAATGATCATACATCGGAGAAATGTCACACAATGTTGGTGAAAGCTGAAATGCTGTAGCCGAAGTAGCAGAAGAGAGGAGACCAAGAGATGCTGAGAATGTCGAACTGAATAGCCCAGTCGACAGTACTATTATTTATATTAGAATATAGTACAATGTTACAGAAAAAGACTAGAATGCCCCTGATTAGTGATGGGACACCCAAACAACTTAAAACACTAAACAGGCTTAGGCCCATTAACACAGACCCAATACATAATAACTTAAACTCAAATACATGCTAATAAGAACTCTTATCAGTCGAACCATCAATACATAAAAAAACTTCAACCTAATACTCCCCCTCAAGCTAAGCATGGATGTCAATCATGTTTAGCTTGCCAAGAAGGTCCATGAACTTTGCTGCAGCCAACCCTTTAGTCAGTACATCTGCAATTTGCATCTCGGATGGAGTATAAGGAATGCAGAGTTCTCCCGAGACTGTTCTCTCTCTAACAAAATATCGATCAATCTCAATATGTTTTGTCCTGTCATGTTGCACAGGGTTATTTACAATGTTGATGGCAGCCTTGTTGTCACAATACAGTCTGAGAGGACCCTCAGCTTTAATACCGATCTCATTAAGAAGGGTCCTAAGCCATAAGAGTTCAACAACCCCGTGAGCCATAGCTTGATATTCTGCTTCTGCACTTGATCTAACAACAACATTCTGCTTCTTACTGCGCCATGTGACCAGGTTCCCTCCCACAAATGTACAATGTCCTGAAGTTGATTTTTTGTCTCCAACAGAACCAGCCCAATCTGCATCAGTATAAGCTTCAATTTCAATTCTATTGTTTTTCCTGAATAGAATTCCCTTTCCTGGGCAAGTCTTCAAGTACCTGAGAATCATTTCAACTGCTTTCATATGAGGGATCTTTGGAGAGTGCATGAACTGACTGACAACATGCACAGCATAA